AAGAATAAATATTTTAAAACGAGAACAGCTGCAATGCATGTATCTGGGGAAAATGTAGACACACACTTCAGTCAATTAAAATGTTGCATAAATTAGGCAACTTCTGCAAATAAATGCACAAAGTAAGAAAATGTGTTTGATTATGTGAAAAATTTGGTATAGAAAGAAAACAAAAAATCTCACAGCTGGATACAAAACAAGCAAAGACAGGTGGGAATTAGAGAAACTCCAAAAAATTGAATCTGAAAAGGAAATAACTCCTGTTTCCTTTTAATAACTGTATTGCTCATCCTGCTTTGTTCTGGTTGCTTCTGGTATGAGAGAATCAGCCATCTACGTTGCCCAGGGGACACCTGGATGTGTTGCAGTCTGCGGAGAGGCTTCTCTCATGTCCCAGGATTCCTACCTGGGAAGGAATCCCACTGCGGCTTTGCAGCACACCCAAATACCTGGAAGTTACCCTGGACTGTTCTCTGACCTACAAGAAGCACTGCTTGAATATCAAACAAAAAGTGGGTGCTAGAAAGAATATCACATGAAAGCTGACTGGCACAACCTGGGGATCACAACCAGACACAGTGAAGACATTTATTATTTTATTTATTTATTTCCGTCACTTTTACCCCGCCCTTCTCACCCCCTAGGGGGGACTCAGGGCGGCTTACAGAGAAAGGCACAATTCGATGCCTTGTCACATATACATACATATATAAAAACAATTAAGCAATTACAAATTAAAAATTAAATAATCAATACACAGTAACACCATAAACACAGTAGTAGGCTAATCCTGAGCTCAGCGTTCGGACTTCCATAAATCCATTCCGTCTTGTCCAATTCCAGCTCGTCATCAAGTCTTTCTTTAACTGCCAGAATGTCCAAATGCCTGGTCCCACATCCAGGTCTTCAACCTCTTCCTAAATGAAAGAAGGGACGTTGCCGATCTAATCTCCCCGGGGAGTGAGTTCCACAGGCGGGGGGCCGCCACCGAGAATGCCTTGCTCCTCATCCCCGCCAATCTCACTTGTGATAGAGGCGGGGTCGCGAGCAGGGCCTCACCAGAGGATCTTAGATTCCGAGGTGGGACGTAAAGTGCCCTTGCACTTTGCTACTCTGCTGCTGAGTACGCATGCCCAGTACAACACATCTCACCACGCTAAAACAGTGAATGTAGCTCTAAATGAGACATGCCGCATTATCACAGGATTTCTATGCCCTACACCACTGGGGAAATTATACTGTTTAGCTGGTATTGCACCACTTGACATCTGCTGGGAAGTAGCAGACAATAATGAAAGGACCATGGCAGTGACATCTCCGGCCCATCCAGATATCAGCCAGCACACCAATGCTTAAATCAAGAAACATTTTCTAAGATCTACAGAGATACTCGCAGGAACACCTCAGCAAGCGAGAGTCCAAAAGTGTCAGGCTAAAACCCAGAACCTCAACCCATGGCTGATGCTGAATGAGAGACTTCCCCATGGGCACACAGAAGACTGGGTGACTTGGAAAACAATGAACAAACTGCACTCTAGCACCATGAGATGCAGAGCCAAACTTAAGAAATGGGGCCACAAAGTGGAGTCCACGATATGTGAGTGTGGAGAAAAGCAAACCACAAACCAACTATTAAAATGCAGCCTGAGCTCTGCCACGTGCACAGTGGAGGACCTCCTTATAGCAACACCAGGGACACTCCAAGTGGCCAGCTACTGGCCAAAGGACATTTAGTATAAGGCCAAGTTATTTAAACTTTGTGTTTTTTAAAATACATTATAACTGTACCCTTGGTTCACTTCTGATATGATAAATAATCCTTCTTTGTTCACTATTTTTTCACTTTTTAATAATATAAATTTGTTTTAAAATGCTCACAATGTTATTTAAGTGCTAACACACAGAGAGTATATTGACTAATTACTTTTTAGTACAGTTATAAGAAACAGTGTTGGAATTCTATACTGAAATAAAACCAATTTCTGTATGTAATCACATTTCCACCCGTTCAAGCACACCATAAAAGGGTTCTCCAAGGAATTGGAATGGTTGTGTACAGCTGCGGCTTTTCTCAGAAAACATTTTAAGTATCCTGATAAACATATTGGAAGGTCTTTTGGACAGTCGAGGAAAAAGCATTCCAAGCATGCTGGTTTATTTTTAAAAGTTTGATGATATGCAAATAAAATGGCATGCTATACTAACAGAAGCAATTTTCCCTTACAAAATATGAATCGTGGTGCTAGAGGTAGCAATGGACCAGAAATCTGCAAAGTCGGTGGAAATTATGTTTCTTCTACTGATGTCTACATATGATCAAAATGTGATATCACCAGCAAACCACTGGCAGGGAACTGCTTGTTGGTGGCAGTGTAGTGGCAGTGATCCCAATGTGTCCTCGATATAATCTAAGAGGCTCTAGGAATCATCTTAGGTTATATCATAGCAGCTCTAGAGTTTTAACCTGCCTTACTTAGAGCCCACCACTTCTATGCAAGGCCATTGAGAGCAGGGCTACTGAGCTAGGGTTGACAGATGTTTCAAATAGCAGTAGAGGACACCTCTCTCTGTTTCCGGATTGACTCAGCTGGCTGCTAAACATGGATTAGGCCTATATAAAGCTCACTTCAAGTCCTATGAGAGATGTGAGTAGATAAAAATAGATATTACAAGTGTGGGGAAAAAACAGAGCTGTGGTTTCAATGCAAAACTTTGGTAGTGGTGCCATAAGAGCATGTGTGATCTCCTATCTAGAGGTGGCCTTCTCTGATGAGAAAGAGGGGAGCTAAGATATATATATTGCAGTTAAGAGCTGGAAGGAGCTAGTAGTCCTTGCTCAGAGTCATAAGTGGTCGAGACTCCTGGCTTGGAAGTGGAACCTGAATAATCACACATAGACCCTGAAGAGCCCCTAATCAAAGATAATGCACCACTCTAAATGTTGAAGATTAAAATGACATGACAGCAACCTGCCTTGTCCTGCTTTGAAAAGGAAACTCTTAAGCTAATGAGATCAGCTATGATGATTTACAGCTGTCTATGAATTAGCACAACCAAGATTGTCTCTTTGCTGTGAGAGATCTGCTATCTCTGACTGCATTATAGTACATTTTTTTGCTCCCATTTTCTGGACACCAGAATGCTCCATAGGCCATTTTCTTCAGTGAGTCCCTGCTTAGCTTTGCGTGTTTTTTGCTATCTTTCCTGTTCAGACATTGAATCACTCTTCTGCTGTTACAAGACCTCTAGATTTGAGCCTGTTCTGGTTTGGAGTTGCATTTGACCCTGAATTTGACCATTTTCTGGCTGGGTTTTCCATAGTCTGCTCCATAGTTTTCCCTCTCAAATCACTGTGAAACAGATCAGCATGATTTTGTGGCAGAAGTCTAGGATACGCTTCAGGGGAATGAGCAGGAGAACTTTCAAATTCCATAGGGTTGAAATAAGTGAAATATGAATGATCATCTGGAGAAGAAAGAACATAAGACATCTGGAGTCTAAAACAACCAGTACTGGAGAAATAGCCTCAGTTGGATGAGGCACCAATGTTCCTTCCAAAAGACAGCACAATATTTCCGGGAACAGAACTTCCTGTCACTTCTTAGCTTATAAATAGCACATGCACTCCATACAAAATTATCACAATTCCAGATAGATTAGATTGGAGAAAAAGTAGCATCCTCTAATAAAGAATTATAGAATAAGCATATAAATCTAATGCAACCCATTTGTACACAAGAACAATATATTATGTGGTATGTCCATGAAATGCCCATTAATTCCCAAATGGAGGGTGAGGGTACTTCCACTGGAAACTTAAATGTGGATACTGTAATAGGTAACCTGAACTATTTGGGTGTGACTGACATATAGGTAGCCAGTTGAGTTTGGTCATCTAGTCTCCTCTTGACTTCTACACACACACTCATTTGAAATGTCAGTTGCTGCTCTCAGACTTTAATCTTCTTTCTTCTAAAAATAGTTTTTGTTATAGTAATAGTCATACATTGGGTCTTCTTGGTAGCTATCAGCATACTTATATGCACAAAATTTAGAATTAGTGGTTTCTATAACCAAGTCTACCATCCACACGTTGCCTCAGCATATATGTTATTGAACCACCACAGTGAGAAATGAAACTGCATAACAATCAATGTAAGTAGCATTTATATTACTCATAGAATGATATGGCTGTCTTTTCATATCCACATACCAAGTCACATTAGAGGCAGTATGCTAAGCAGATGAAAACACATACTACTAGTTTCACTGAAGGTCCCACAGGAGCTAGGAGATGATGGTGGGTGATTATGCTAATGGTTTCTCATTAAATGAGGCTCTTGGTATTCAAAGAACATTTTTAAAATCTGGTTCAAAATAGATTCTTTTGCAACCACATAGCCAATAGGTTATGAAGAAGACGTTGCCATTGTCACTGTGTGTCCCCCGTAAAATTAATAAAAGATGTTACAACACTATGCTTAAAACCTCTCCACTTTCTTTTATTCAATGTCTGCAGCATACAGAAATTGATATGTAGAATGATATGCTATGTGTTGCGTAATGATGGAATGCATGGATGCTATCTAACACATGCCTTGCAATACAATGTTTTTCAAACTTCTTGAAACGGTCAGTGGCTATCTTGGTTCTGAGAGTTTCAGTTTCACAATGGAAATGTTGGCCTTTTTCTGTGGTGTGTATTGACCCGTAGATTGGAGTATCCAGTGGCATTGAAATAGAGTAAAACATTCACAATCCATCCTAAAACCACTAATGTTTGTGTTTTCATTAGGAAATAGCCCAAACTATCCTTCATTTCCTTCTACTTTGTTTTAGAGATTATGATTTGCTACCTTTAAGACTGAAAATCTATTACGAATCAGTGGGGGTTCCTTGCCAGGAGTTAGGGAAGCCACCCGGAAAGGCTACATCTTAGTCCTACACTTTCTTGGATCTCTCTGCATGCCTTGTTACATATCCAGCAATGGAAGATGGTTCTACACATTGACAATCTGTAGCGACACATAATTTAGGTCGAAAACGTGGTGATTATCTAGCTTAACTTAACCAAGAACAGGATAGGTATCATAATAGCAGAGTAATTAAGCCAAAAATATAGAAAGCCTTTGAAAATGCTTGGAATCAATTTATTATCAATTTGATAATTCAAACAATGTTATTTTTCTTGAACATTTCCCAAGAGGGCAAAGTGTAAGAGCAATGCTACAGTCAGTGCAGATAGCCGATGAAAGAGCTAAATGGTTGTGTGGAATGGGAGACATTAAGGGAAATATTGAATAAATTTGGAATGGGAAATAGAATAAAAGGAGTACTAAAACAATTTTACTCAAGGAACTCAGCAGTGGTAACTATAAATGACGGAGTGACAAACGAAATAAAAGTGACTAGAGGAACCAGACAAGGGTGCCCTTTGTCTCCGATACTATTTGCCATGGTGATAGAACTGTTTGCTAATAACATAAGGAATGACAAAAATCTAGAAGGGTTAGGAAAAAAGGAGAAACAGAAGGTGAGTTTATTCGCTGACGATACATTGTTATTTATAGAAAATATAGTGGAGAAAATGGATAGAATAAAAGAACATTTGGAGATATTTGGGAAAGCAACAGGCTTACAAGTTAATTGGAGTAAGTCAGAAATGATGCTACTTAATTATACAAGAGAAGAAGAAAAAGATCTTATAGAACAGAGCAAAGGGGGAATAAGAATCAAGAACAAACTAAAATACTTGGGAGTAATAATAACTAAGGATTTAAAAGAGATAGAGGAAGTAAATGTAGTAACATTAAGGAAAGAAGTCCAGAAAAAGTTAATAGAGTACGAAGGAATACGCTTATCATGGTTTGGAAGAATAGCATTAGTAAAAATGAAAATACTTCCAAAAATAAATTTTATATTTAGGATGCTACCACTTCAAATTACAGAAGAAGAACTAACTAGATGGCAACAAATGATTAATAAGTACTGTAATGGAAGTAAAAGAAACAGACTAAATAAACAGTTATGGTACAGATCGCAAAAGGAGGGTGGACTAGCACTACCTAATATAAAAAAAAATATTATGAAGCAAGTAGATTAAGTTGAGGCTCCCCCCGTACTGCTAGGGCTGTTGTGAGCTGAGGGGGCGCTCCTCAAGTGGCAGTCCAGGGGCATTTACAGAGGCACCTCTGCGCCCCTGGCAAAAAAAGTGTTCTGCGAACGCTTACCTCGCATAATGGACGAGCCGCCCCTGGCTGTAAGATAAAACCAGTAAGTCACTTGGTGACATTGGCAGAGTCCCTGCATGTGAGTCCACTTGAACCTCTATGTTTACCTGCAAGACTGATGACTCTGGTTTTGCCTAGGAACTCTCCAGGATATCTATTTCTTCTCTGATGCCCAGAGAAACGGATACTTAAAGCAACAGCAATTGTGCTTCATTAGTAATACAATTGTCATGGTTTCATTGTATACAATTAGAACAATGGTTAATAAACTGGAAAAAAAAATAATAGAAATGGAAGCCAACTCAATCAATTCGAACAAATAATACAGAAGGGAAGGGCTGTAGAAGAACATGAAAACTTGAGAGGTATAATTAGCAAAATGTATAAGATACTAATTGAAATGAAGGATGAAAAAATAAAAAAGTGTACCCTTAAGGAGATTTGGGAAGAGGATTTAGGGATGAAAATAAGTGAAACAGAGTGGCAACAGTTATGGGGACAAAGACATTTAAAAAATTTATCAATATGAGTTAAAGAAAATTATTACAAGTTAATATGGAAGTGGAACTTGACACCGGTAAGAATAGCATATATGAATAAAAATAACTCAATAAATTGTTGGAGAGGGTGTCAAGAACCAGGAACATATATACACATGTGGTGGCAATGTAAATATGTAAATAATTTTTGGGAGAAAGTATTTAGAGAAATAGAAACTATAATGAATATGAAAATAGATAAAAGTCCTAGTATTTTTATTATTTATTTATTTACTGCATTTGTTGACCGCCGTTGTCAGCCCTAGGGCGACTCACGGCAGTGTACAACATATAAAAACAGTTTACAATAAAGCCATAGCACAACGAAATATCAACATAACTATCAATAATA